GAAGAAGGGTCTAGACCCGAAACGTCAGCTTTCTTGCTCCTCTGATGCTGCTTGGCCTGCTGTGTTCATCCAGCTCTACACCTTTTTGTCTCAGATTCTCCAGCATCGGCAGTTCCTACTAACTCTCACTGAACAGGAGTTGTTTGACTTCAAAACCTAAACCTGTATTAAAATTGATTAGATAAAAGCAGTCAACAATACATGTGTATGCAAGATTACTTGGCAATTTTAGTAACATAATTCAAAGGCAGATTATTTAACGATCTGCTATCAGATCTGACCATCAGTCCTGAGTTTGAGTTCCTGCAGATTGGTGAAAACAATTTAAGTTAGCAATATCAGTACCTGATAAACTAACCTGAACAGATTGCTGGAATTGGTGAAAAAGATCATTCGTTTTGGAAATTTGAATGAATTCGATCACAGATATTGATTTAAAGGGGGGTTTTTGCCAGAAACGGGTGAGAATGAACTGAATGCTCTGTTAGCAGTTGGCCAAATTGCCTTTTCCAATGTCAAATAATGATGGTTAGATTCTCTTTTGTTGGAGATGATCATTACCTGGCATGTGTGTGGCCTGACAGTTGCTTGCCACTTGTCAGCCTATATACGGATACTGTTCCAAGTCTTGCTACTTCAGTCTCTGAGGAATGTGATGCTCTTGCCTTCTGGAGCAGAGCTGATGGGTTAAATGGCTAAATAATTCAGCCTGCACAGGTTCACTTCCCAGCATGTTCACTGGGCATTGATGCTGAGTGGAAACCCTGGATATTTTATTCCTCAAACCCAGGAATACTGAATGTAATTGTCAGTGTCTCACTGCAGCCAAGACTGCTGGCTTCTTCCTGTATGTGTGCTATGGACTCCCTCAAAGTATATTAAGAAGGTAGTCTAGACCATACCTTTTTCATAGTTTTAAAGGTAAATGCGAGGTGCTATGTTCTTGATGCAATTCAATTGGTCAAATTGCTCAACATTAAGCAAAACACAATTTATTCAAACACATTGTTAAAATACAACAATAGAAAGAGGAACTTGGAATAACTTTATTGAAAAACTTAACAGAATAATAGATTATTTTACTAATAAACAGTAGCATTTCCAATATAGCAAGATCTCATAAACACCCCTTAGCAGAAAGGCAAATTCAGAAAACAGATTTTGTCTCACATACAATCCAGCAGCCTAGGAAGAGAACCCCCAGCTTTTGGCTGTAATCTAGAGAGGGAAAAATAACTTCTACTTTGTCAAGACTCCAGCAGCTTCTGCCAAATCAAAAAACTAGAAATCCTAGTCTATGAGAGCTGAATACATCCATCCAGAGTGCTTCTATTATTTCAACTTTAAAAAAAAAACCCAAGGCCTCACAAAGCTGTTTACATTACCACAGACTGCTCTGCCACCCTTGTTCAATCTCTCTCTTAAAAGAAACCAGAACAAAATACAACTCTTAAAGCCACAGCGTCGTCACAATGTGTATGTCTCCGGGGATCATTGAGACCCAGATATTCTTCAGAAGTAGTGCTGTGGGGCTGGGAGGCCGAGCATAATTGTCAGTGTCCCACATTGCGCACACTGAGCCCCACACTGGCTCCTTCCAGTCTGTGTAGGTCTCCACTTGGATACCCTGAAGCAGTACTGTGGGGTCAGGTCCCTGAGTCTCGTGATCCTGTGGCTGGGCCTCTGTCCACTCAACGGGAGGTGACCCTCACTCAGCTTGAGCTGGGAACAGAGAAATGGTCAATAGGATTTCAACCTGGAGCATAGGTGGTTGTTGGGGATGGACACAGAACGCCTGTACAATGAAAAGAGCAATGTTTATTAATGGAAATGTGAGGGGTCTTATTGTGCAGTGGTGGTACCCCTGCCTCCAGGTGAGAAAGTCTGGGTTAGAGATCACGTTCCCTGGAGGTTTGTCATAAAATAGCTGAACAGTTTAATTCAAAAGACTTGTAAATGTAAATCTGAGGGTTTAGTGGTAATGTTCCTAACTCTGGAACATAAAGTCCATCGGTTCGAGTCCCACTAGCCACAGAAATTTGTCCGAATCACACTTCCACACTCAGATTGGATCTGATCTTGTGTAGCTTCCTTAGTTGAATCTCTCCATTGAAACTGAACCTATTGCACCAGAGTCTGAAACAAATTGAGGAGAAAATAAACAGATTGGATGGCAGTTAAATAGGAGGGAAACTGGCTTTAATTTTAGAAATGGTAACAATCAAATAAAAGTGCTGAAAAGCTTTTCTGTTTTATTTGTTACATTAATCTTTGCAACAAACGCTCACCGAATCCATTTGAGACTCTGATAGTTCTTTATGAGTTGGTGTAGAGCAGGGACAGATTTATCTGTGAAGAAGTTTAAACTCAGGTTTGGACCAATCAGTGGCTGGTTTGCACTCACAGCAGAGGCGAAATCATTGACACAAGAATCTGTGAGACCAACAGAAGCCAGTCTGGAATAAGAGACTGGAGTTAGAATAAATTCCCCTTATTTATTACTAATTCTATTACTGATAGAGTATTAGACATTCAGTTACAGTAAGTGCAATTTCATGCGGTCTGGTACTTACTCTAGTGTCTGCATTTTGCAATTTTCATTTTTCAGAGCCACAGATGATAGTTTCATTCGTGAATCTGCCAGATGATTGAAATTCAGTTTCAGAACTCTCAGTGACTGACTTGAGCTCAGATTTAAGGCAAGCTCCCTGGCACAAGAAGCCGTGAAACCAATTTGATCTAGACTGATGAACGAATAAGAAGAGAGAAATAACAGGAAGAAGTGTAAATCTCTGACGGTGATGTCAATATTAATGTACAGGCTTATCAATAAAATTATCACTACAAAGCTGAACAGAGATTCCTAATGACAATTACTGAGACTAATAAAAATGTATGTGTTTTCAATAACAGCATTACAGACAATTTAATAACGTACAGCATCAGATATCCATTTTTTAAAAATACAATCTCACACATTGTTGTGCTTACACCAGTTTCTGTATTTTACAGCCTGGATTCCTCAATGCCGTAGACAGTAGATTCACTCCTGAATTTCCCAGTTCATTATTACTCAGATTCAGATCCCTCAGCGACCGGTTTGTACTGAGAGCAGAGCAGAGATGACGAGCAGAAGAATGTGTGATTTCAAGACGATCCAGCCTGAGAAACAGAAACAAAAATAAGCGAGATCAGAATAAATCATAAGTGCTTGTCAAGAACATTATAATTAGTGTCTAATAAATGTATCTGTCAGCTAGACAATTATTATAAACACAATCTCATAATGTATCATGAATGCTCATACCACAGTTTCTGTATTTTACATTCCAGGTTCTTTAGAGCTTCAGACAACAGGTTCACCCCTGAATCTCTCAGTTTATTGTTACCCAAGTCCAATACAGTTAATGATCGGTTTGTACAGAGAGCAGAGACAAGATCGATGACACAAGAATCCGTGAGATTATTATTATCCAGCCTGAAAAACAGGGAGAGAGAGAAGGAATAGGAGTATCAGTAAAACCATTTCTAAAAACAAAACGTATGGATATCAACTAACACTGTACATTATTATTGACATCAGTGATAGAGTCACTAGTAAACCCTCAGTATTGTATGTACTAACAATAGGTATGAATGCAAAAATCCTGGCAAATACCTACTTCAGTTTTCTTGCTAATTAATGAGAGCTATATTAAATACTGTAACTTATTGATGGTAATAAGAGTTTTCACTTTATTTGGTGATGTACAGGTTCTATCAATCTATATACGTAGAAGCCTGCTTATGCTATGCCCTGTTGGAAGCCCAATGCATATAATAACCAGTGCACAATGACTTTCAGTCAATTTGGCAGGTCAAGGCCAGCCTTGAAAGCAACCACATGAATTGTGTCTTTACTATCCATTCATTATGCAAGCTGAATACTGCACTAGGACATTTCAGTGAGGTTCTGTGCAATAATGGCTAGGGTGATCAAATCATCACTCACTGACTTATCAAGTGGAGTCATGACCGAGCCCAAGGCTGCCACATTTTGCCCAGTCTACCTAAGATTACCTGGAAAAGAATTGTGAGTAACAGGTAACAGGTAAAGCTAACTGTTTCACACCACTACTTTGCAGTGAACACCACTGTTATTCCTCACTGATAGGAGGCTGAGGTTAATACAAAAAAAAGGTTTTGCCTATAACACAACTATGAGCAACGTGACATGAGATTCAGGGCTGGTGTAATGCCAGTTATGTTGGCCATAAATCCCATTCATTGATGGACCACACCAAACAACTTGTCCCTTTCAGTGCCCACAGCAGACAGCATGCTGGCTGTGATCAACCAGCCCATGATTGTAAAACTCAAAACAATGTGTCCAACATTAGGAGTTATTCTGCTATTGGACAGCATTTATACAATAATCCTGAATGCATTAAGAATTAAATTGGAAAGCAATTTAAGATTATCAGTCAGATTCGCAATGTGATTGTTGAAAGCTGTATGTTGACATATAGTCCACTGGTTCTATAAGCAAAATGCACATGTTCACATATTGCATCTTATCAACGAGGAAAGGGCATTGGAGAAAGTCAATTCATGCTACATCCTCATGGCAATATCCTGAGCAACCAGAATGGAATTCCTTGGTTTGAATTTAATCAGTTTACTAAGCTTGACAGTTCACAGTATTGATTTCATCTTTATGGCATCCATAATGCAACCAGGCAGCACTCTCATCTCATGCTGCATAATTGCTATTTCTTTTCTAAAGCTGGCTTGCTTGCACTATATTCCTAACGAGTCAAGATCAAAAGGTTCAGCTTCAGGTCTCTTTTTAAGAATGATTAAAGCTGTTACTGACCCCTTAATTAAAGTATGGCTCACCACCATTTGGTAGCACAGAACTTTGAATTTTTCAGTAATTCTAAAGTACAGTTTTGCAAATTAATAACAATTTAAGTAGTCAGCAGTTTGCTTATTACGAATACAATCTCACGTGTTCTGGCACATACCATAATTCATGTATTTTACCGTTGGGTTCTCTCAGAGCCTCAGCTAGCACTTTCATTCCAGAATCTCCCAAGTTATTGCTTTCAAATCTAAAGTCAAAAGGATATAGTGGGATAAACCAGCAGATCAAATCCCCAGGTCTTGTGCACTTTTTTCCTGGAATTACACAAGACAGTTTTTTTTCTTTATTTGTTCACAGGATGAGGGCGTCGCTGGCTAGGCCAGCATTTATTGCCCATCCCTAACTGTCCAGAGGGCAGTTAAGAGTCAAGCACATTGCTGTGGGTCTGGAGTCACATGCAGGCCAGACCAAGTAAAGATGGCCATTTTATTCTCTAAAGGACAATAGTGAACCAGATGGGCTTTTCCAACAACCAACAATGGATTCACAGTGTTAAAACATGAGAAAACTAATGAACAAATATCCCTGTTATTGGCAATAAACCTCACTGGCCAAACTCACACATATTCAAATGCTGAACATGAGAAATGCTGGCGATCACTGCAGGTCAGACAACATCCATGGAGAGACAGCGAGCTAACGTTTTGAGTCTAGATGACTCTTCATAAGAGCTGATGTGAAGTGTGGAAGGGACAGCACTTATACTATAGTTGCGGGGGGGGAATGGTGCGGTACAGAGTGTAGAGTGCTGGGTGAGAAAGGATGTTGGTAGTTCAGATTAAGTGATCAGAATGTGAGAATAGCAGAACAACAGTATGTCTAACTGCCAGACTTGAAAGAACAGACAGTCCAACTAGGGTGGGGGGAGATGCAACAGGACGTGGTGACAGAGAATGTATCAAGTAAAACGAAAAGAAAGGAAAGGAATGGGAGTTGAAAGTGTTGAACTCAATGTTAAGTACAGAAGGTTGTAAAGTGCCTAGTCTGAAGATGAAATGTTGTTCCTTCAGTTTACACTGTGATTCACTGGAGCACTGCAGCATGCCGAGGACAGACAAGTGGGCATGCAAGCAGGATGCTGTGTTAAAATGACAGGCAACAGGAAGTTCAGGGTCATGCTTCTGCAGAGCAGAGGTGTTCTGCAAAGTGGTCACCCAGTTTGCATTTGGTTTCTCCAATGCAGAGTAGACCACATTGGGTGCAGTGAATACAATACAGAAGATTGGAGGAGATACAGGTGAAATGCTGTTTCACCGGGAAAGACTGTTTAGGCCCTTGGATGGTGAGCAGGGAGGAGGTGATGGGGCAGGTGTTGCACCTTCTGCGTTTACATGGGAAGATGCAGTGCGAAGGAGAGATGGTGTTAGTGGTTGATGAATGGACTAGGGTGTCCCGGAGAGAAGGATCCCTGCGAAATGCAGACAAGGTGAGTGAGAGGAAGATGTGTTCGGTGGTTGTTGAAAAGGTGAAGAATGATCCTTTGAATGCGGAGGCTAGTAGGATGAAGACATGGGGGAATGGATCACGCTGTTATGAGTGATGGAAAGGGACAAGGGCAGAAGCAGGGTGATAGGTCGGATGCGGTTGAGGGCCCTGTCAACCACAGTGGATGGGAAACCACGGGTATGGAAGAAGCAAGCCATGTCAGCTGTGCCGTTTTCTAAGGTGGCATCATCCAAACAGACATGACGCAGGCGAAGGAATTTGGAGAATGTGATGGAATCTTTGGAGGGCATGGGGTGTGAAGAGCTGTAGTGAAGATAGCTATGGGAGTCAGTGGTTTTGTAATGGATGGCAGTGGACAGTTTATTCCCCAAAATGGAGACAGAGAGGTCAAAGAAAGGAAGGCAAATGTTGAAAGTGGGGTATAGAGGGGTGAAAATTAGAGGCAAAATGAACAAATTTTTCAAGGTACTGGCAGGAGCATGAAATGGCACCAAAACAGTTATTGACGTACCAAGAAAAAGGTTGTGGGAGGAAGCCACTCTAGGACTGGATTGTTTCACATACCGCATAAAGAGGCAGGCATAACTGGGGACGCGTGGGTGCCTGTAGCTACTCCTTTTCCTTGTCAGAAGTGAGATGAATTCAAGGAGAAATTGTTCAGTGAGAGAACAAGTTCAGCCAAGTGAGAGAACAAGTTCAGCCAAGCGGAGGAGAGTGGTGGTGGATGGGATTGTTCAGGCCTCTGGTTGAGGAAGAAGCCAAAAGCTCTCAGACCATCCTGGAGGAGAGTGGAGGTATAGAGGGATTTGACATCCATGGTGAACAGAAGGCAGTTAGGGTCAGGGAACTGGATATTGTCAATATGGTGGAGGAAATCAAAGGAATTGCGGATGCAGGTGGACAGGGTCTGGTTAAGTGGAGAGAGGATGGAGTCAAGGTAGGAGGAAATGAGCTCATGGGGCAGGAACAGGCTGATATGATGGGCCTATGGGAGCAGTCTGGTCTGTGAATTTTGGGAAGGAGGTAGAAGTGGGCTGCCTAGGGTTGGGAGACCATAAGGTTGGAGGCAGTAGGGGTAAGATCTCCTGAAGTAATGAGGTCAGTGACAGTGTGAACCCTAACTCATGTTCCTTCCCTTTCTTTGAGCTTTACTTGTTATATTCTCGGTCACAATGTCCTCTCTCCCCTATCCCACCCCAGTGGGACTGTCTCTTCTTTCCTGTCTGGCAGTTAGTCACACCATTGTTCTGCCATTCTCACACTGCAATCACTTAATCTGAACTATCAACCTCCCCCAGTACTCTACACTCCACCACCCCCAACTATAGCATAAATGCTGCCTCCTCCACACTTCACGTCAGCTCTAATGAAAAGTCATCTAGACTTGAAACGTTAGCTTGCCCTATCTCCATGGATGCTACCTGACCTGCTGTGATCTTCAGCATTTGTTGTTTTCAGAAACAAAAACAAAAACAGAAACACAAACAGAAATTGCTGGAAAAGCTCAGCAGGTCTGGCAGCATCGTTTTGGGTCAAGAGACCCTTCCTCAGAACTGCTATTTTCAGTACAGATTCCAGCATCTGCAGTAATGTGCTCCCATATTCAAATGCTGTCAGGAGATATATTAATGAAGTATTGATGAGAAAGGACACATTTTGTCAAAGCTTTCTGCCTGGAACTCATTAGGACAATTCACAGGAACTACCATTGAATCCTGACTGTGGAAACAGGCCATGTGGCCCAACAAGTCCACACCAACTCTCCAAAGAGCATCCCATCCAGACTCACACCCCTATCCTATCCCTGTAACCCTGCATTTCCCATGGCTAATCTACCTAACTGCATGTCCCTGGAAAGTATGGGCAATTTAGTATGGCCAATCTACCTGGATACCGAAATAAATGAAAACAACATTTATACTGGGTAAGAGGAGCATGCTGGTTAGTAGCAAATGGTCTCTGATTGGTAATTACGTGTCCATGGCAAATAAACTTTCTAACCGCCAAGATTTGTTTCAATCTTAAACAAGACAGGATGCCTCTGTCTGGTCAAGTCAATGCACTGAGCAATGGACAAGAGAATAAACCAAATGTTGTCAAATTTTAGAATCACATGTAATGTTGACATTGTTTTGTGAGTCTTCAAAGCAATTGGACAAAATTTGTTGCAAAATCCCAAGAATGCGAAGGATTACGTTGACAACCAACTTGAGACTGTCAACGGGGTAACAGCATGACACGATTGTGCAGACTGGGAGCTACATAAAATAATACACAGGACCCTGTTCCTTATGGATAGAAAAACCATGTGCTCACACTGCACTTTTTTCAATGCAGCCAGATAAATGACAGTCAATCACTCTCTGGTTTATTTCTCAGGGAAATACCCTTAAGAGAGTGTTGAGATTAATTTTCTGAGGACATAGATTCGAATCCCACCATGAAAGGTGAAATTCATTGTAAAATCTGGGATTAAATGTCAGTCTAACAGCAACCATGTAACCATTGTCAATTGTTCTTAAAGCCAAAGTATTTACATAAATGGCTGGTCCGTTATGGTCCAGACCAGTGGTAACTTCCAGGTCGCTATTGGTGGGCATAGCATTCTCAAAACATAGTAATGACAAATCTATGGCTTCATACCCGCTCACTTCCATGACCTTGAATTAACATTATCTCAAAATATAAAAAAGAACAACCTGCTTGCAAATATTAAGATACATGACAATGTGTGATGGCTGTTTAGCTCTGAGAAGTGGCTGATTAACTCTGAGTGGTGGCTGACTCAGTCTTTTCTCCCCAGTCCAGTCCCTGCCCATGTACATTCATGATTCCTCTGATTGCTTTATGGCAGTTTCAGAATTTCCAGTTTGCAGGCTCCAGCTGTCTCCTCTTTATTATGGACATGCAATCCCTTTACAAAAGCAAAATTGCTGGAGAAACTCAGCAGGTCTGGCAGCATAACGTTTCGGGTCTGGTGACCCTTCCTCAAAACAGTTCTGAGGAAGGGTCACTGGACCAGAAACGTTAACTCTGATTTTTCCTACAGAGATGCTGCCAGACCTACTGAGTTTTTCCAGCAACTTTGTTTTTGTTCCTGATTTACAGCATCCACAGTTCTTTTGGTTTTTATTACGCAATCCCTTTACACATCCATCACCCACTAGGATGGTCTCAGGGTTCTCCACTTCTTAGTGGAGCAAAGGCCTGAATCACCCTCACCCACCGCCACACTCCCCTGCTTCGCTAAGCTCATCCTCACCCTCAACAACTTCTCTTTTAACTACTGAGGAAGGGTTCTGAGGAAGGGTCACCGGACCCAAAACGTTAACTCTGTTTTTTCCTTCACAGATGCTGCCAGACCTGCTGGGCTTTTCCAGCAACTTTGTTTTTGTTCTGTTTTAAAAACTCCCATTTTCTTCAGGTCAGAACAGAGGCCATGGGTACCTGCATGGGCCCCAGTTATACCTGTCTCTTCGTGGAATACATAGAATATTCCTTGTTCCAGTACTATTCCGGGCCCCACCCAAAACTCTTTCTCTGATATATCCATGATATCATCGGCACTGCTTCCCTCTCTCTTCTGGAATTGGAAAAGTTCATCAATTTTGCTTCCAGTTTCCACCCTGCCCACACTGTCACCTGATCTGTCTCTGGCTCCTCCCTTCCCTTCCTCAACATCTCTGTTTCCATTTCTGGGGATAGACTGGCCATTAATATCCACTATAAACCAACTGATTC